GAGAGGAGGAGGCGGAGGAGGACGGAGGAGGAGGAGGGAGGAGGAGGAGGAGGAGGAGAAGGCGGAGAGGCGGAGGAGGAGGGGAGGAGGAGGGAGGGTGGGGAGAGGAGGGAGGAGATGATGATGATGATGAGAGGAGGAGGAGGAGGAATATGATGATGATGAGGAGGAGAGGAGGAGGACGAGGAGGAGGAGGATGAGGTGGATGAGGAGGAGGAGGAGGAAGAGGAGGAGGAGGAGGAGGAGGAGGAGGGACGAGGAGGAGGAGGGGAGAGGAGGCGGAGGAGGAGGAGGGGCGGAGGCGGAGGCGGAGGCGGAGGCGGAGGAGGAGGAGGAGGAGGAGGAGGAGGAAGAAACTGATGATGATGATGATGATGATGATGATGAGGAGGAGGAGGAGGAGGAGGAGGAGGAGAAAGAGAAGGATACTCATACGAATAATATCATTATTATTATTATTATTATTATTATTTATTATTATCATTATAAATAATGATAATAATAATAAAATTAATAATAATACAATAATAATAATACGAATAAGAATACTAATAATACTAATAGTAGTAATCCTAATAATAATGATAATACTAATAATGTTAATAGTAATAATGATAGTAGTAATACTACTAATATTAACAATAATACTCATGATACTAATAATGATAACAATATGAAGAATAAACAGAAGCAGAAACATAAGCAGAAACATAAGCTTAATCATAAGCCGACGCAGAAACAACAGCAGAAGCAGAAGCAGAAACATAAGCAGACGGAGAAGCAGAATACGCAGACGCATATGAATAATAATAAGAAGAAGACGCAGACTACTAACACTACTACTAATAAGAATAATATTAATGCGATGAATAATACTAACATTAAGAAGCATATTAATATCGAGAATACGAGTGCTAAGCATACTAATAATACTAAGAAGCATAAGAATACGAGGACTACGGACAAAACTAATAATCATAATGAGAGTACGAATAATACTCATAGGAATAACAATAATACTACGAATGCTACTACTACTGCTAACACTAATAATCGTATTAATAATAAGAAGAACGCTAATACTAATACGAATAAGAATAAGCAGACGACGAATACGAACCATAAGAAGACTAGTACGACTAATACTAATACGAATAATGCGAAGCTTACACATATTAGTAACAAGAAGAAGACTACCAAGCATAATACGAATACTAATAATAATAAGAATAAGAAGACGAATGCTAAGAACACTAATAAGACTGACATTAACAATAAGAGTAAGAAAGCCACGAACACGAATAACAATAACAATAACCATACTAATACAACGGCGAAGATGATGAGGATGAGGGGGGGGAGGGGGAGGATGAGGAAGAGGAGAGGGAAGCGGGCAGGAGGAGGAGGAGGAGACGGAGGAGGAGGAGGAGGCGGAGGAGGAGGCGGAGGAGGCGGAGGAGGAGGAGGACGAGGAGGGGATGAGGAGGAGGAGGAGGAGGAAGAGGAGGAGGAGGAGGAGGAGGCGGAGGCGGAGGCGAAGGCGGAGGCGGAGGCGGAGGCGGCGGTGGAGGCGGAAGCGGCGGCGACGGGCGGCGGAGGATGAGAGGAGGAGGAGGAGGAGGAGGAGGAGGAGGAGGAGGAGAAGAATAGGGAGAAGGAGGATGATGAGGAGGGGGGAGGGGGTGGAGGAGGAGGAGCGCAGGATGCGGAGGAGGACGAGGAGGAGGAGGAGGAGGAGGAGGAGGAGGAGGAGGAGGAGGAGGAGGAGGAGGAGGAGGATGAGGAGGAGGAGGAGGAGGAGGAGGAAGAAAAGGAGGAGGAGGCGGAGGAGGGGGATGAGGCGGAGGAGGTGGAGGAGGAGGTGGAGGAGGAGGACGAGGATGAGGATGAGGAAGATGGGGAGGAGGATGTGGAGGAGGAGGAGGCGGAGGCAGACGCGTCAGCTGAGGCGGAGGCGGAGGCGGAGGCGGTGGCGGTGGCGGTGGCGGTGGCGGTGGCGGTGGCGGAGGATGAGGAGAAGGAGGAGGAGGAGGAGGATGAGGAGCCTGAGGAGGCGGAGGCTGATGCGGAGGAGGCGGAGGCGGAGGCGGATGATGAGGCGGCGGAGGTGGAGGAGGCAGAGGCGGAGGAGGAGGGTGGAGGTGGAAGAGGAGGATGAGGATGAGACACGAAGCGGGTACTACAGGAGGAGGAGGGGGAAGGAAGACGAATAGGAGGAGCAGGAATATGAAGATGACGAATACGAGGAATAGGAATATGACGTGGAAGAGGACGGACACGGATAATGCAGAGGACGCGGACTAGGACGCGAACACTAGCAATACTAATATTGAGGATAATACGACACACTACCACGAATAATACTACGACTACTAAGGCGACGAATGCTAATACTACTCATACAAAATAGTAAGGATAAGCGACTACCACTACGACTACTAATACGGCTACGACGACGAATGCGAAGACGAAGGTGAACCATGCGACGACGACTATTACTAATACTAAGAACACTCATAATACTACTGGCACTAAGGGTAAGACGCATACGAAGACGACGGCTAATCATCAGAGCATTCAGACGAAACATAATGCGAACACGACGGCGATGAATACGAGCACTACTACTAATATTAACACGACTAATGCTAGTAAAACTGAGACGAAGACGACTACTACTATTAGTCATACCAATAATGATACTAATATTACACATAAGAAGAACACGTGCTACTAACTAGTATATAATTATAGTTAACCCCATTGGTGAGAAGACATATAAGAGACTAGAGCTACTACCAACACGACGGGTACTATTAATAGTGGGACGACGAAGGCTACGGCGCATAAGCAGAAGAACATGATTATGATGATGATGATGAGGAGGAGGCGGAGGAGGAGGAAGAGGAGGAGGCGGAGGAGGAGGAGGAGGCGGAGGGGGAATATGAGGAGGAGGAGAAGGATGAGGAGGACGAGGAGGCGGAGGAGGAAGGGGGAGGAGGGGGAGGAGGAGGAGGAGGAGGAGGAGGAGGAGGAGGAGGAAGATGAGGCGGAGGATGAGGAGGAGGAGGAGGAGGAGAACGGAGGTGGAGGAGGAAGAGGAGGAGGCGGAGGAGGAGAAGGAGCAGGATGAGCAGGAGGAGGAGGAGGAGGCGGAGGCGGAGGAGGAGGAGGAGGAGGTGGAGGCGGAGGAGGCGGATGAGGCGGAGGAGCATGAGGAGGAAGCGGAGGAGGAGGAGGAAGAGGAGGAGGAGGAAGCGGAGGAGGAGGATGAGTAGGAAGAGGAGGAGCGGGAGGAATATTCATACTAACACGACTAATGCGATTAAGAAGAAGAGTATGACTATTAACGCATAATAATACGAATGACAACACTACAAAAGAGTACTACCAACAATAATAGTGCCACGAATAACAAGACTGAGCATAATAACGGAACGAACAATATTACGACTAATAAGGATACGAATGCTACGCATACTGAGAGTCAGAGCAATACTACTACGACTACTACGAGTCATACAACGCCTATTTATACTAATCATAAGACGAACGCGACGAACACGAATACCACGAAACATAATACGACGACGCATCTAGATAGTATCAAGCTATCAGAGTACTACTCATACTATGGATAGTCATAACATTGATACGCATACTGCTAATGCTGCTAATGCTAGTGCGACTAAGACTAGTAACTATCAATACTAGTACTAATACTAATGATGATACTACTAGTACTAGTACTCATACTACTCGTCGTAGTGATAATATTAGTACGGATAATAGTAATAACAATAATAGTATCATTTTTAACATGATCAATTATGCGAATAACAATACTACTACTAGTCGTAGTAGTAGTAGTAGTAGTAGTCGTAGTAGTAGTAGTAGTAGTAGTAGTAGTAGTAGTAGTAGTAGTCGTAGTCGTAGTAGTAGTAGTAGTAGTAGTAGTAGTAGTAGTAGTAGTAGTAGTAGTAGTAGTAGTAGTAGTAGTAGTAGTAGTAGTAGTAGTAGTAGTAGTAGTAGTAGTAGTAGTAGTAGTAGTAGTAGTAGTAGTAGTAGTAGTAGTAGTAGTAGTAGTAGCAGCAGTAGTAGTAGTAGTAGTAGTGTAGTAGTAGTAGTAGTAGTAGTACTAGTAGTAGTAGTAGTAGTCGTAGTAATACTAATCATACTAATACTAGTAATGCCAATACTAATCGTACGAACAACACCATTACCAATCATACGGCACATCCTAGTAAGAGTACTCATAGTAAAAATAAGGCAAACAATAGTAAGACTAATAATGATATTGTGAAGACGGATCAGTATTATAATACTATTACTCAGACGAAAAATAATAATACTAATACACGTAATAATATTGGTAAGAATAACAGGAATAACACTAATACTAATAAGTGTAATTATATACTATTCATACGTTTATTATTAACAGTCATATTCATATTACTAATGGTAATGATAATACGAATGCGAGAAGGAAGGTGATCATGAGGAGGAGGAGGACGAGGAGGAGGAGGAGGAGGCTGAGGGGGGAGGAGGGGGGAGGAGGGGGAGGAGGAGAACGGAGAGGAGGAGAAGAATGGAAACGGATATTACAGGAGGAGGAGGAGGAAGAAGAGCCGGAGGAGCAGGAGGAGCAGGAGAAGCAGGAGGAGGAGGAGCTGGGGGAGGACGAGGAGGAGGCGGAGGAGGAGAGGAGGAGGAGGAGGAGGAGGAGGAGGAGGAGGGAGGAAGGAAGGAAGGAGGAGGAGGAGGAGGAAGTGGAGGAGGAGGAGGAGGCAGGAGACAGGAGACAGGACACAGGAGACAGGAGACAGGAGACAGGAGGAGGAGCAGGAGGAGGAGGAGGAGGCGGAGGAGGAGGAGGAGGAGGAGCAGGAGGCGTCAGCGATGTCGCGTACCGACGAGCGGCGGACGACGACGAACGACGACGAACGACGACGACGGCGACGACGGGCGACGACGACGACCGGCGGGGCGGGGTTCAGGCGGGCCCGGCGCATGCGATGGCCGAGCCAGTCGTCTTCCACGTCATCGGCGGGAAGGGCAGCGGCGCCGCCAGGCCTCGTCGTTCGTCGTCTCGTCGTCTTCGTCGTCGTCGTCGTTCCTTCGTCGTTGTCGTCGTTCGTCGTCATCCTTCGTCGTTCGTCGTCTGACGTTGTCGTCAGTTGTCGTCGTTCGTTTTCCGCCGTCGCCGCTTGCAGTCTGTCGTCGTTCGTCATTTGTCGTCGCTCGTCGTCCGTCGTCGTCCGTCGTCGTCGTCGTCGTCGTCGTCGTCGTCGTCGTCGTCGTCGTCGTCGTCGTCTGGGAGGGTCGTCGTTGCCGTCGTCCGTCGTTGTAGTCGTCGGTCGTCGGCCGTCGTCGTCATCGGCGTCCTTCGCCGTCGGTCGTCGTCGTCGTCGCCGTCGTCGTCGCCGTCGTCGTCGTCGTCGTCATCGTCGTCGTCGTCGTCGTCGTCGTCGGTCGTCGTCCGTTGTTGTTCGTCGTCGGTCCTCGCTTGTCGTCGTTCGAGTATTGTGGTTTGTGGTGCCGTGCTACTTCTAGGGGGGAGGGGGTCTGGTGCGCCCTCGTGACCACTACTGGATCCTCCTCGGAGTTCTGGCCAGCACGCAACCCCTGAGAAGGGCCAGGGGGTTGTCATCGTCATCGTCATCGGCGTCCTTCGTCGTCCTTCGTCGTCCTTCGTCGTCCTTCGTCGTCCTTCGTGTTCGCCGTTGTTTTACACAGCGTGGCGCCACAGTTCAGCCTGCAGTGCGCACAAGGGCCGAGCACCTACCCCCGCGACCACCCAGGGCTAGGAGCCGCCTCGCTGGCGTGGCCCGAGGAACTGAGACGAAGAAAGGACATAGAGGGTCCCTAAGGGCTTGCCGACTTCTCCCCAATCGACTTGTGGGGATCAAGGTATATGCAGACACATCGAGGTACCTCCAGGTACATCCAGGTACATCCAAAGAAATCCAGAGGTCTCCAGGGACATCTGGAGCAGATCGTCGCAGTTTCCGCGCGAGCTGAGGAGCGGCAGGAGTCGTCAAGCCTATAGCGGCAAAAGGCGGGCGCGCCGACCTCATTGCTTGAGGAGCAGCACCGTGACGCCGACAGCGGCTCCCAGCCACCAGGGATGGGCCACCCCTAACAGCGCGGGGCACGTGGAACGGGTAGGCAAGCGTGAATTGGCCCGCCCCCGACCGAAGAGGAGAGGCGGAGGAGGAGGAGGAGGAGGAGGAGGAGGAGGAGGAGGAGGAGGAGGAGGAGGAGGAGGAGGAGGAGGAGGAGGCGGAGGCGGAGGCGAGGAGGAGGAGAAGGAGGAGGAGGAGGCGGAGGCGGAGGCGGAGGAGGAGGAGGAGGAAGAGGAAGAGAAAGGAGGAGGAGGAGGAGGAGGAGGAGGAGGAGGACGAGGAGGGGGAGGACGAGGAGGAGGAACAGGAGGAGGAGAAGGAGGAGGAGGAGGACGAGGAGGAGAAAGGCGGAGGAGGACGAGGATGATGGTGATGATGGTGATGATGGTGATGATGGTGACGATGATGGTGCAGATGATGATGATGATGATGATGATGATGATGATGATGATGATGATGATGATGATGATGATGATGATGATGATGATGATGATGATGATGCTGATGATGATGATGATGATGATGATGATGATGATGATGATGCTGCTGCTGCTGCTGATGATGATGATGATGATGATGATGATGACGATGACGATGATGATGATGATGGTGATGATGATGATGATGATGATGCTGATGCTGATGCTGATGCTGATGCTGATGCCGATATGATGATGCTGATGTTGACGCGATGATGCTGCTGCTGATGATGCTGCTGCTGCTGGTGATGATGAAGTCGTTCAGCCCTAAACGACAAATAATCGGTCCACGACGACAAGAGACGGGTGCCCTCGAGGCCCGAGGAGCCGTGTGCCCGGAGGCCGAAGGCGGCAGGCCCCTGCCACGCGGGACCGCCGGAGAGCTGGGCAACGCGCTCGGACTGCAGGGCACCGCCGCGCAGTTCCCGCGCAGCCCTCCTCCTCCTTCTGGTTCTCCTCCTCCTCCTCCTTTTCCTCCTCCTCCACCACCTCCTCCTTCTCCTCCTCCTCCTCCCCCTGCTGCTCTCAAAAGCTCTTCCCTGTCGCACCCCGAGGCCGGTCGGAGGGGCGGTCTGGGTGTTTCTCCTGAGACTTCCTCACCATGTATGATCCTGAAGCTCATAAAGTGCAAGATTTGCACGGATGGAGGGAACGTGGTTTTCAAACCGTGCTTCTCGCTTTCGGGCCGCGCGCATTGTCGTTTCAAAATATTGCAAGAGTTTCATGGATTGAGGACAGGTCGTTTTCAACATGTGGCTCTCGCCTTCGCGCCGCGCGCATTCGCTTTAATCAGTTGCAAGAGTTTTGCGGATGGAGGGCGGGTCGTTTTCAACATGTGGCTTTGGCCTTTGCGCCGCGGGTATTCGCCGCAACAACATGTAGAAGTTTCACAAATGGAGGGCGGTTCTTTGTCAATCTGTGCCGCTCGCCTTAGCGCCGCGCGCATTCGTTCTAAGAATTTTCAACAGTTTCACGGGTTCTCATGGTTAACGTACCAGAAGCGATATTTTGGCCAGATGTCGGATTGTGAGGGCGCAACAGTTACGTTGATTCGTGGTGGTAAGTCTCAGGAGTGGTATTCCGGCACGATTCAGGGTCGTCAAGACGCAACAGGAACAGCGATTCGCGGCGTTGAAGTCCTAGGAATGGTGTTCTGGCAGAGTTCAGGACTTTCAAACGATTGTTTTCTAACGGGGCATCTCCTTCCGTGGAAATGTAAAAATGAATCCTTGCAGGGGTCCATGGAGCCTGAGTCGTGGGTTTACACTGGTCCTCCTCCTCCTCCTCCTCCTCCTCCTCCTCCTCCCGGGCGCTCCCGCGGAGGAGGAGGAGGAGGAGCAGGAAGAGGAGGAGGAGGAGGAGGTCGAGGAGGAGGGTATCGCCTAAGTGAGAGCCCTCAGTGCTTGGGGAATCGGCATAGGCTCTTCGGAGTGCCGCGCGTACTTCGGCGTCGGCACTGGGGCGCCATAGTCGCCGCCAGGCGTGTGGAGAGGGGGGTCCGCGCGGACCTCCGTGACTCTGCGTTTTTCCCCACCCGACAGGTTGGTGTTGTTCGCTTAAAAAAAAGCCTCCTGACCCACCCTGTCTTCGGCTAGCAGTAAGGGTGGATAACGGACCCCCCTCGTCGCAACGGCTGGATGCGGCTCGACAAGTTTGTCAGTCCCGACCCCGGCACGGGTCCAGATCTTTCTTGGGTTTATCCAGCTCAGGCCGCCCCCCAGTCTCCCCCCCTATACCATGGGAGGAATGACACCCCTGCGGCAGAAGACCCTAAACAGCGCTGCACATTTACGATAGGGGGTCACGATGGGGGGTCACGATCGGGGGCCACGATGGGGGGATCGGGATAGGGATAAGGGTAGGGACACGGATGTGGGACTCGGGATGTGGGTGTAGGGATCGGGATGGGCGCGTCGATGGGGACAGGGATATGGGGATTTAGGGATAGGGATACAGGACAGGGATAAAAGGGATCGGGAAAGAGGGACAGACGGGGCAGAGGGGCAGAGGGAAAGGGACGGGGACGGCAATGGGAGGCCACGGGGGGTCACCGGAGGGCGCGGGAGGCCACGACAAACCGCGGGAGGCAGCAAGAGGCAACGGGTGACAGCGCCGCCCCCCCCGATCCTGGATCCGGCGATACACTCATGAGTTTCTGAGGGGGCTCATATCTAGAACCCTTGCAGACAACCTGTCAGAGAAACACCATCACGACCCCCAGGACCAGGTGTCTGCCACTCAGTGCTGGGCGTCGGCGGAGCAGCCCTTGCCCTGGCTGATTCCTTCCCTGGGTGCGTCGACAATAGGGCTTCGCTTGCAGGTGTGCTCCAGTCTGAGGATCGCTCTCCTGCCCTCTCCTCGCCGGCCCTCCCCGCCCTTCCTGCCCGCCGCTCCGCCCAGCGAAGCGCCGAAGAAGCTGGAGGTCAAGCCCGGTGGCGAGAACGTGCGCCGCCCCGTGCCGCAGCGCGCGCCGGCACAGCACAGTCGGCTACATGAGAATGAGGAGGGAAAAATCACACAGACACACTTAATCGTCGATTTCCCAGAAAATATGGGAAAATATGGGAAGTGGGGGGGAGACAAAAACCCAGAAAATATGGGAGAATACAGGGAATCCTGTTATTAGTGTGTATCTATTTGTGTGTCCCAGGGCCCCTTCAGATAAGAGCGACCTCTCGCTGGAGTGACCTCCGTCGAAGAAGCCAACCAGCTGCATAATCGTCAACTTTTTGCATCGGCGCCAGGGTGGAGTGTCCAGCGCCGATGCAAGAAATCCGCGCGGAGCTCCGAAAGTTTATGCTTGTGCATGTTTTTGTTTCTCTGCTTTGGTGCGCGGCTTTTGGGGTGTCGCGGGAGGCCGCGCTCAAGCCCAAAGTCGCAAGCTGCCGCATCGCACGCAACGATCGGCAAGTCATGCACCAAAGGCCATTCTTCTTGCGTGTAACCAGCCCGCGTCGCTGCGTGGTATCCGACCCTGAACCCAACCTCTGGGTCGGCTGTGGAGGTCGCACCGGCGATCGCAGCGGCCACACATCGGGGCAAGGGTTTTGTCAAGGAGTGGCATGCCCTTCCCAGCCACCCCCCCGCTCGGCGATGTCTGGTGCCCCATACTCAACAGAATTATGACAGAGAGTTGTCAACCTGTGGCCAACACGGGGGGTCATGTTTTTTTTGTTGGTTAGGGGTGGCTGGCCTTCAGTTGGGCATGTCCCTCTACAGGAGTCAAAAATATCAAGCAAATAGTCAAACAATAGTCTGGGGACGATTTTTTTACATTATTCTTGATTACCTAACAGCGAAGACTGATAGGTTTCTAGTAGTGTCAAAAGAGAGCATCTTGACGCCCCAGGGGGGTCTGGGCGGGATCCAGACAAAACCAGACAAAACCGGCAGCCCCAGGACAATTCTTAGCAATCCTTAGGAATCCATTCCCAGAACACCATTCCCAGGCCACATTTTGAATGCCCGGAGCCAGCTGTAGGCCACTTCGTGTTCTTCGTGTTCCCAGAACACCATTCCCAGGCAACATTTTGAATGCCCGGAGCCAACTGTAGGCCACTTCGTGTTCTTCGTGTTCCCAGAACACCATTCCCAGGCCACATTTTGAATGCCCGGAGCCAAGTTCTTCGTGTTCCCAGAACACCATTCCCAGGCCACATTTTGAATGCCCGGAGCCAACTGTAGGCCACTTCGTGTTCTTCGTGTTCCCAGAACACCATTCCCCCAGAAACCATATTTTGAATGCCCGAGCTGAGGCAGGCTGAGGCCGCAGGCGAGGCTGAGGCTGAGGCAGGCTGAGGCTGAGGCTGAGGCTGAGGCAGGCTGAGGCTGAGGCTGAGGCTGAGGCTGAGGCTGAGGCAGGCTGAGGCTGAGAGGCTGACGCTGAGGCTGAGGCAGGCTGAGGCTGAGGCTGAGGCCAAGGCAGGCTGAGGCTGAGGCTGAGGCTGAGGCCGAGGCAGGCTGAGGCTGAGGCTGAAGCTGAGGCAGGCTGAGGCTGAGCCTGTGGTTGAGGCTGAGGCAAGTTGCGGCTGAGGCTGAGGCTGAGGCTGAGGCTGAGGCTGAGGCAGGCTGAGGCTGAGGCTGATGCAGGCTGAGGCTGAGGCAGGCCGAGGCTGTGGCTGAGGCCGAGGCAGGCTGAGGCTGAGGCCGAGGCAAGCCGAGGCAGGCTGAGGCTGAGGCTGAGGCTGATGCTGAGGCAGGTTGAGGCTGAGACAGGCTGACGCTGAGGCTGAGGCAGGCTGAGGCTGAGGCTGAGGCCGAGGCAGGCTGAGGCTGAGGCTGAGGCTGAGGCCGAGGCAGGCTGAGGCTGAGGCTGAAGCTGAGGCAGGCTGAGGCTGAGCCTGTGGCTGAGGCTGAGGCAAGTTGCGGCTGAGGCAGGCTGAGGCTGAGGCTGAGGCAGGCTGAGGCTGAGGCTGATGCAGGCTGAGGCTGAGGCAGGCCGAGGCTGTGGCCGAGGCCGAGGCAGGCTGAGGCTGAGGCCGAGGCAAGCCGAGGCAGGCTGAGGCTGAGGCTGAGGCTGATGCTGAGGCAGGTTGAGGCTGAGACAGGCTGAGGCTGAGGCTGAGGCAGGCTGAGGCTGAGGCAGGCTGAGGCTGAGGCCGAGGCAGGCGAATCCTTCGGAATCCTTAGGATTCCGTAGGAATCCTTAAGAATCCTTAGGAATCCGTGAGAATCAGGTTTCCTAAGGATTCCTATGGATTCCTAAGGATGCTTTAGGCATTCCTAGGAATCCTTAGGATTTCATTGGATCCTAAGGCCGTTGCCACTGCGACTGTCATTGCGAATGCGACCGCGACTGCGAGAACAGCAGAATTCTACAACTGTATTCTCACCTGGATTTTAAGGAGAATGCTTCCAGGTATGCTTATACACGTCGCTGTTAGGTTGCTTTGCCGGGGTGATTATTTTTGAATATTTTTAGACTATCTCTTATTACCTAAGCGAAGACTGATAGGTTTCTAGTAATGTCAAAAGAGAGCATCTTGACGCCCCAGGGGGGTCTGGGCGGGATCCAGACAAAACCGGACAAAACCGGCAGCCCCAGGAATCGTTGGGAATCATTGGGAATTCTTAGGAATCCTTAGGAATCCATTCCAAGAACACCATTCCCAGGCCACATTTTGAATGCCCTGAGCCAGCTGTAGGCCACTTCGTGATCTTCGTGTTCCCAGAACACCATTCCCAGGCCACATTTTGATTGCCCGGAGTCAGCTGTAGGCCACTTCGTGTTCTTCGTGTTCGCAGAACACTTTTCCCAGGCCACATTTTGAATGCCCGGAGCCAACTGTAGGCCACTTCGTGTTCTTCGTGTTCCCAGAACACCATTCCCATGCCACATTTTGAATGCCCGGAGCCAACTGTAGGCCTTTTTGTTTTTTTCGTGTTCCCCAAACACCATTCCCAGGCCACATTTTGATTGCCCGGAGCCAACTGTGGGGCATTTCGTGATCTTCGTGTTCCCAGAACAGCAGTCCTGAACCATATTTTGAATGCCCGAGCTGAGGCAGGCTGAGGCCGAGGCAGGCTGAGGCCGAGGCAGGCTGTGGCTGAGGCTGAGGCACGCCGAGGCAGGCTGAGGCTGAGGCTCCGAAGTCCACCGGCCGCTGCCCACGCCAACCTGCCACCCGGCGCCCCCCCCCTGCCGATGATGAGCAAATTTGCCACCACCGCTATCATAGGTAGGACGGGGGAGAAGAGAGTATGAGGAGGTCCTCCTCCTCCCCCTCCTCCTCCTCCCCCTCCTCCTCCTCCTCCTCCTCCTCCTCCTCCTCCTCCTCCCTCGCCTACCTGTGGCAGTGGCAGCGGAACGTGGCCCCATCGCCCGAAGGTCAAGGTCGGCCGCGCGTCCAAGAACGAGCTCGTCTTCAGGCGCGGGTCGGGAGAGGGCCGCGGGGAGCCTGGCAGCGCGGCCGCGGCGGCGGGCACCCGAGGGGGGCCCGGCCGCCCCGTCCAGCCCCTCCTCCCTCCTCCTCTTCCTCCTCCTCCTCCTCCTCCTCCTCCTCTTCCTCCCCCTCCTCCTCCTCCTCCTCCTCCTTCGCCTTATCCCGAGAGCCCAGTGCTGAGCACACGTCGGGACATCGCACATGTCTGGGCCCGCGCTGCAACAAAACAGAATGGCACGCTGGCAGGCTTTCTCGGCTGGCCGCCCAGTCCCCCCCCCTCGCGCCGCGAAGCGCAGCCGCGGCGGTGGGCCTCTGGTGGCCAGCTTCGGCCGCGGGGGGGCCCGCACCAGGCCACGGGTTCTGATGCTCCAACCTACTTTCGCCTGCCTTGGTCACCAGCGAGGATTTCGAGCACCCAACAAGTACCGAAACTCGAGAGGGTTTTCACGCGTCGGGCCCTGGGAGACACTCGCCCGACACTGTTTCGACACTCTTTCGACACTTCTGCGGCTGCTCGACACTATTTCTGGGATGTGGTCCTCAAGTACGATGGCAGCAACCGAAGGCCAGCTTCGGCCGCGGGGGGCCCGCACCAGGCCACGGGGCCGAACAAAAAGGGCGCGACTCGTGATGAAGTCGGCCGCGCGCAGAGGGGGGCAATGGGGGAGGGGGAAAGGGCTTCTCAGGAGCACCCTGCTTCTTAGAAGGCGCGGGCCTTGTCTACAGATGTAAGGCCGGCGCCTTCCGAGAAGCAGCCCCCTTCTAGCCTTCCCCCTCCCCCAAGGCGGGTCCCAGGAGGAAGGGGTCCAGACCCTCCGTGGGCGTCGTGCAAAAGTCGCAACGGAGGCTTTTTGGGCGTGGGGGGAGCCGCTGGGGGCCCTCACCAGGCCACGGGACTGTCAGAGCTCGACTCGGGATGAAAGGCTCGTCCCAGTAGGAAGGGGCCTCCTCGGTGGGGTCGGAGTAGATGGGGTTGGAGGATCGCGCCGCATCGCCGAGGGGAGGGCATGAGCTGGTTTCGCCAGCGCTGGTTTCGCCGGTGCTGATTTCGCCGACGGCTGGTTTCGCCGACGGCTGGTTTCGCCGACGGCTGGTTTCGCCGGCGCTGGTTTCGCCCCGCTGGTTTCGCCCCGCTGGTTTCGCCGGCGGCTGGTTTCGCCGGCGGCTGGTTTCGCCGGCGGCTGGTTTTGCCGGCGCTCGTTTCGCCGACGCGAGCCCTAACGGGCGGGTCGGGTCGGGCGGGCGGACCCTAGCGGGCGGGTCGGGTCGGGTCGGGCGGCCGGGCCCTCACGGGCGGGTTGGGTCGGGCGGGCGGGACATTAAAGTGCGGGGCATGCCCGACCGAACACGCGCGAACCCTCACGGGCGGGTCGGGTCGGGCGGGCGGACCCTAGCGGGCGGGCGGGTCGGGTCGGGCGGGCGGACCCTAGCGGGCGGGTCAGGTCGGGCGGGCGGGACATTCAAGTGTGGGGCGCGCTCGACCGAGCACGCGCGAACCCTCACGGGCGGGTCAGGGCGGGCGGGCGGACCCTAGCAGTCGGGTCGGGTCGGGTCTGGCGGGCGGACCCTGACGGGCGGGTCGGGTCGGGCGGGCGGGACATCATATTGCGGGGCATGCTCGGCCGAGCACGCGCGAACCCGCACGGGCGGGTCGGGTCGGGCGGGCGGACCCTAGCGGGCGGGTCGGGTCGGGTCTGGCGGGCGGACCCTGACGGGCGGGTCGGGTCGGGCGGGACGCGCGAACAAAAACGGGTTGGGTCGGGTCGGGCGGGCGGGCCCTAGCGAACGGGTCGGGTCGGGTCGGGCGGGCGGATCCGAACAGGCGGGTCGGGTCGGGCGGGCGGGACATTCAAGTGTGGGGCGCGCTCGAACGAGCGCGCGCGAACCCTCACGGGCGGGTCGGGTCGGGCGGGCGGACCCTAGCAGGCGGGTCGGGTCGGGCAATCTCGTCGACGGCTGCTGGTTTTGCCGACGGCAGCTGGTTTCGCCGACGGCAGCTGGTTTCGCCGACGGCAGCTGGTTTTGTCGACGGAGCTGGTTTCGCCGACGGAGCTGGTTTCGCCGGGCGGCGAAACCAGCCGGGCGAAACCAGCCGGGCGAAACCAGCCGTCGGCGAAACCAGCGGTCGCCAGCGGGAGGAGGCCTCGGGCGTGGAGAGTGCGCGCCACGAGGAGTGCGCAGGCGGCCTCAGGCGGCCTCCGGCGCCAGGGGCCGGTGTGGTATTGCCGGGGAAGTTTAAGACTCGAGTAAGCCAGAGCTCGGGTTTGCAGACGTTTTTTGACGAGCGCGTCTTGCGATTGGACGGTCCAGTTTGCGTGGGATGTTTGCAGCAGGAGTTCGCGTCAGATTTCAGATTGAGTCTCGTCATTTCTATTACGGCCCCGTCAGGCCAACCCGAGTCCCCCGCCACCGAGTCTTACGTCTCCCCGATATTGGGAAGGCCTTGCAGCCGGGGCCGCCGACCCTGAAGGGGGACGACGACCACGACTGCGGCGTCGGCGGCAGCGGCGGCGACGACGACGCTGACGTGGGGCAGAGTCCTCAGTGATGCTTCGTGGGGCCTTTTCGGAGCGCGCTCGTAGGCCTCTGGGGGCAGTATTGGGGCCTCTTGGGAGTATCTGAGGGGCCTCTTGGGGGCCTCTTGGGGGTCCCTTCGGGCTTCCTGGAGGCCTTTCTGTGCATTTTGAGGCCTCGTGGGGGCCTCTGGGGGGCCTCTTCTTGGGGCCTCCTGGCAGTTTCTCGGAGCCGAGGGCTCGAAATGTTCGTTCGGACTCCCGCGTGGGCACCCTTCGCCAGACGGCCCAAAAGGCCCTCAGCTTCTTGGCTGGGGGCCTTTTGGGCCGTCTGGGAGGCCTCCAGGGCCGTCTTGGGGCCCTCTTGGGTCGTTTTGGGACCGTCTTGGAAACCTCTCGGGGGCCTCGCCTTCTGAGAAGTTTCCTGTGTCTTCAGGAAAGGCTTGGAAAACTTCTCAGAAGGCCGGTGGACTTCCGAGCCTTCTGAGACGGCCCGCGCCTTTTCAATTCCCTCCAGGCTCGCCACCCATCGTAGATGGGGTTGGGGTAGATAGGGCTCGGTGATCGCGCCGCATCGCCGATGCATCGGCGACGCGGCTCGATGTCGACGGTTTTCGCCACGCTGGCGTCGCCGATGCACCGCCGACGTCGTCGATGAATCGTCGATGCATCGTCGATGCATCGGCGATGCATTGGCGATGCGGCGCGATCCTCCGACCCCATGCGCTCGGATCCCATCTGGGAGGCCTCTAGTTGAGAAAACTGTGGTTGGCCTTCGGGGGGCCTCCTCGTCGCCACGGCGGATCGCAGCTCGGAAAACTGCTCCGTCTGGACCCCGGGGGGGGTCCAGGGACCGCTTTTGAGCTCCCGCTGTCTCCACCCTAGGGGAACGAGCACCGACATAGACATACGGTAGGTTCGCGTCGTGTCGACCAGCGGCGACCCCGCCGGCGTTCAACGTTGAACGCCGGCGGCGGCCCAGAATCGGTCGATGTTGAACGATTGGACGTTGCGGAAATGGCCGATCGTTCAAGGTTGAACGATCCCCGCGGTGTCAGGAACCAACGCCTGGGTCGACACGACACGAACCTGCAGTACAAACTCGGAGGTCCGCGCGGATTTCTCGGATCCGCGCTGGACCCCCCTCCCTGTCGCGCGGAGCGCGCCGGGGGCGGCGCCGGAGGCGCCGCCACGGGTGGTCCGGCGGCGGACCTCCGAGGAGTCCGCGCGGAGCTCCGAGTTTTTAAAAATGTTTGTGTCGTGCTCTGCGCCCCCGAGCTTCGCAGGCCCAGAGGTTGACACCAACGCCAATATCGGCGGTGCTCCTCCACCGAGGAAGGAAGATCCAGATCTTGGTGATGGTGGTAATATTCTGGCTGCCAAGGCGACCGAAATATTACCACCAACACCGAACTCCAGGATCATCTCTCCCCTGTGGAGGCAGCCCCCTGTCTTGGTGTTGGTGCCTATTTCCAGGCCTTCAAAAGCGCGCCCTCCTCAGAGGGGCCGCGCACATGCCGCCGGCCATGATTTGCGCCCCCCCCCTCTTGGACGCCCCCCTCTTGGCCGACCCCGATCAGAGGCTGCGGTCGGTCGGTTCGGCTCGGTCGGCTGCCGTGTCGTTGACGCCTCGCTGCGCCGCTCCTCGGCGGCCCGCGGCCTCTCGGCCTCGGCCGGTTTTTTGCTTCTCGCGGTCGGCTCGGTCGGCTCCCGGCTGTGCAGGAGGGGAAGCACCCCACAGATGCAATTCATCGTCGATTCCCCCGAAAATAGGGGGAAATGTGGGAAGGGGGAAGACGAAAACTCAGAAAACATGAGAACATATGGGGGATCCTTGGATTTGCGTGTGTTGATTTGAGTGTCCCTGGGCCCCTTCGAAAGGTTGTGCCGTCGCCGTGGGCGGCCTCGGAGGCCACGGCCACCAGTTGGACTCCCGACACGATTTTTCACGACCTGGGCCCCCAGAGGTCTGGACCTGTGCCTACAATCGAAGAAGAAAACACGCTGTAAACATAATCTTGTGGCGCTCCGCGCGGATTTCTTAGGCGCCGGGAGGGGGTCCAGCGCGGATCCGAGAAATCCGCGCGGAGCGCCAAACAGTTTATGTTCATGCCGTTTGTTCTTCGTCTGTTCCCAAGGGTGCCCTTGTATCCTTGCCCCTTCGGTAATTTTCGGCCCACCCTCAGGCACTTTCGATGGCCAGCCTCGGCATGGGCGTCCAAGGCCCTTGCATTCTTGCCGCGCATCCTTACTACAGTGGAAACCCATGCCAATAAACACCCTGCTATCCTCCAGGGTGCCCTGGGTTTCTTGGGTTTCGATGGTTTTGCTGTGGAAAGCCTGACGTTCCCCACACCAAGAATCAATGCACGTCCTGGGGTCTCAGGGCTGGTCTTCTCGCGGAAGGTTTCTTGTGGCCGAGCTCCTACAGTTGATGGGTCGACTGCATCTTTCTGTGTGTCCTTGGGCTCCCTCCGATGCATCGGCGATGCGGCGCGATCCTCCGACTGGAGGTGCTCGGGCCCGACGTGGGGGAGGCCTCCGGGCGCGCCGGAGCGTACGGCGCGAGGGGGGCGGCCCTCCGAGGGGCCAGGCGCTCCCCAGAGGACTTCTCGGAAGCGGGGCCTCTTGGAAGCAGTTTCCGAGAGGGCGCGTCGCTCTTGGCTTGCCGACCCGCGCCGATGCAGACACGCCAGATTCCTGAGGCCGAGGCCCTGCCCACCTGGTCTTCGCCAGTTGGGCCCGGACGATGTCCGCAGCGGTGGTCGTACAGTATCGTATCGTGCCAGCGCCGATCCAAGAAACGCCCGTGCGGAGCTCCTAAAGTGCAATTCGGCCTCCTAGATGGGGTCGGAGTAGATGGGGTCGGAGGATCGCGCCGCATCGCTAATGCATCGCCGATGCGGCTCCATGTGGAGCCCGATTTCCTCCACGTCGACGTCGCCATCGCCCACGTCGCCGATGCATCGCCCATGCATCGTCGATGCATCGGCGATGCATCGGCGATGCGGCGCGATCCTCCGACCCCATCCACTCGGACCCCCTCTGGGAGGCCTCTGTAAAGTCTGGGCTTACACACACATGTCCCTTCTCCGACTGTAAGGCTGCCTCCCGCCCCGGGCTTCGCGCCTCGTGCCCTCCGCCGCCCCCCGGGGCCCGCCTGGCCCTCGGAAGGGCCCCGTGTCCTCTCGCGCGCGCCCTCCGGCCGAGCTCCTCCGCATGCGCTCTCTCGGCCGGGTGGCCCTTCGCTGCTGCCCCGGGGCGCTGGAGGAGCGAGCGGCGTGCGGCACCGCCGCCGGCAGCCTCGGCGCCCCCTCCCCCCCCCCTGAGCCGCGCTGCCACCGCCAGCGCCGCACCACCACCACCAGCACCCCCATCGACTGAGGAAGCGGCACGAGCATCAGCACCCGGAGGTCCGCGCGGAGGTCTTGGATCGGCCTGGGGCCCCCCGGGCGGCGCCTCCGGGCGGCGCCTTTGGCGCGCCACGCGCGCCAGGGGGGGGGTCCTCTGCCTCAGTCCCCCCCCCCCCCGGCGAGTGCCAGGGCGTCAGTGGTGGCAGCAGGGCAAGGATCTGGGACCTCCCCTCCCCCCCTCCCCCGCGAGTGCCAGGGGGTCAAGGGGGGCAGCAGGGCAAGGATCTAGGGCCTTGGGGGTGCATGCGTTCTACCTTTGGTGCTACGTCCTCTGCAGCCGAGGGTGAAGGAAGGGCGGATGGGGGAGTGGCTGTAGCGAGCGAGACGCCCGCGAGCAGACAGTGAAGGAACTGACGGAGAGGCTCCAGTAAGGCAGACGCCCGACGCGACGTCGTACCCATCGGTCGTTGAAAGTAGGTATGTTTGGGGTCCCAGATTCCAATCTACTTTAAGCGCCTTCCTACTTCAGTGATCGAGTGGCTTCACCTTTTCCGTCCCCTTTAGGGGGCGGCTGGACACCCAATCTATTTTCAACGCCTTCCTACTTCATGTTTCTACCTGCTTCTTCCGACGGATGGGTATTCGTGCACGACCACTTCCAGCAGGGCTCGTGTCGTGACCGCTGTCGATGTGCTTCCGAGCACGTTCTGTGCGCTGGTGCTGCGGAATCTGTTGTCGAGCGGAGCTCTCCGCAGCAGGTGCCCAGCCATGGCCGTCCTTGACCCCGGGATGGTGTGCAGGCCCCACTGGCCTCGGCCGGGCCCCGGGGCCGCATAGACCATCTCAGGGCCCAGGATGGCCCTGGCCAGGCATCGTGCTGGTGTCAGGTCGGGCGTGTTCTCCTACAGGCGGATTGGATTTTGGATGAAAAATAAGGAAAGTCAAACCATATTCAATCATGGTCAAAAATACTAGAAAATTCGTCCCCAGACTATTTTTGACTATTTTTGGATATTCTTCTTGTAGAGGGACATGCCCGACTTGATGCTGGTGTGTATGTGCCGTCCAGGGCTGCTCACAGTCCGATCAGATCCGATACGGTCCCCGAACCTCGGTTCCGATCTCGATCCGATCCGACACGCATCGATACCCTCTCTGGCCTGCGTGGACCGAGCCCGATCCGCGATCCCAGACGATCCGATACCGATCTCATTCTGCGCCGATTCTGGCGCGATCCGATCCGCCTCCGATCCGATCTTTTCCTCGACTCGATCCAGCTCATGCCTGCCTTCTGCGCAGTGTTGCGGGCATCACAGGAAGCCCCGGGTCGGGCAGGCATCCCGGCATCTCCTGGAACCACGTAGAGCTGAGGCCGCGCCGCGTCCCTCTCTCTCTTTGGCCGCCGCCCTCGACGTTCCTCCGCTCAGCGGGCAGCGAAGCCGAGGCCCTGATGTTAGTGGCCCAAGATGGCACCCACGCGACGAGGAGGAGGAGGGGGAGGAGGAGGGGGAGGAGGAGGAGGAGGAGGTGGAGGAGGAGGAGGAGGAGGAGGAGCAGGAGGAGGAGGAGGAGGGGGAGGAGCAGGAGGAGGAGCAACAAAGGCAGGAGGAGGAGGAGCAAGGGCAGGAGCAGGAGGATGATGAGGATGATGATGACGATGACGATGACGATGACGATGACGATGACGATGACGACGACGACGACGATGCTGATGATGATGATGATGATGATGATGATGCTGATGATGATGATGATGATGATGATGATGATGATGATGATGATGATGATGATGATGATGGTGATGATGATGATGATGATGATGATGATGATGATGATGATGATGATGATGATGATGATGATGATGATGATGATGATGATGATGATGATGATGATGATGATGATGATGATGATGATGATGCTGATGATGATGATGATGATGATGATGATGATGATGAGGATTCTAATAGTAAGGACAGTCATACTAGTACTACAATTCTAATAATAAGTGCAGTAAGACGAAGACTAACACATACTCATACTCATGCTAATAATGATACCCACATTAAGAAGACTAATCGTATCACTGGGACGGAAAAGAGCATCAGTAACCATAATATTTAATTCTAGAACTACTACTAGCGTTCGTATTACGAAGAAGTCGAGCACTAATAACAGTAGTACTAATACGGATGACAATAATAATGCTAATACTACTCCACACAATAATCTCCAACACTAATGGGAGTAAGAACAACCATACTACTCAAGGTAACCTATTATTAATATTGGCACTTTTTGGTTATGAGCAAACTTAGCATACTTTTGACAATCACCATGCTGATATCAAGAAGACAAGGAGGAGGAGGAGGAGGAGGAGGAGGAGGAGGAGGAGGAGGAGGAGGAGGAGGAGGAGGAGGAGGAGGAGCAGGAGCAGGTTCGAGTAGCCACACTCCCCGCAACGACGGGTGCGATGCAGACCTGCCGAGGGGCTCTGGGGAGCTGTCCACGCTGGAGGGCAGGCCCCGAGGGCCGTGCAGCTCTTGCTCCCGCCCCCCCGGCGGTGGCACCCCCCCCGTGCCTGCCATGCCGGCACTTGCCGCCGGCGGGGCCACCGCTCGCGAGGCACACGGCGTGGGCGGCCGCGCAGCGCAGCGCCACGGATCTCATGGCGGGCGCGTCTTTCTCCGTCGCCGATGTGCGCAGCAGGCCAGGCAGTGATACCTGTGCTGTCCCAGGCCCAGATGCAGTGGGGGCCCATGCCAAGAAGCACCCTGCTTGCCTCCAGGGTGCCCTGGGTTTCTTTGGTTTCGATGGTTTTGCCATGGAACGTGTGAGATCCCCACACGAGAAGTCGACGGACGTCCTGGGGTCTCAGGGTTGGGTTTCTTGTGGAAGGTTTCTTGTGGACTGGCCTCCACCGTAGGGGGGCGGCAGTAGCTTATGGAGAGGCCTTCGAGGGAGCTCTGTGAGCTTTGGGAAGGAGCTTCTGGAAAGCTTCGTGGTACACGTATTGGGAAAGCGTAGGGAAAGGCCTTCGGGACACGCTGCAAGTTCACAGGAGGTGCATCAGAGCTTAGCTTCCTGCCGGAAGCCGGAACGAGCTCTGGGGCTGCCCCTTGCCTGCCGGCTTCGAACCTGAAACCTGGTAGCTCTGCACGAGCTCTCCGTCTCAACAAACGTCAAGCTTCGGAGGTCCGCGCTAGTGTCTTGGGTCGGCGCTGGACCCGCTGGCGGCGCCCCCGGCGCCGCCCGTGGTGCGCGGAGCGCCAGGGAGGGAAGGTGCAGCGCTGGACCAGCCCTCCGTCGTGATTCTTTCGTGACTCGAGGGTGTCTGGGATCGGCGTCACCCCGTCATGCGGTCGGACCGAGGTAGAAGATCGAGGTAGGTTCGGGGAGGGTGCCCTGATGTTCTTCGTGTGTGTGTGTGTGTGTGTGTTGGATGTTCTTGTGTATCCTGGGAGGAGGGTACCCCTCGAATGTTCTTCAGTCCGACCGTCGGAGGGTCTCATGTTCTTGAAGGATGCTCTTCTGTCCCAGGTCTGGCCGTACTGATACTATGTGTGCGGCGCCCACACCAGCGGCCTCGCGCGCGCCGAGAGATCTGATAGTACAAGCTCCGTGGCGGGCGCTTTCTTGCCATACCGCTCGAGAAATGTCAGATGTGTGACGCGCGCCTCCGAGGAGGACGCATCGTACCAGTGTGTCCTTCTGCATCCCACTCCTCGGGGAACGCCAGCTGCACGCTCGCACCAGCTGCACGCTCGCGGGAAAAAACACACACACAAAAAACACACACTGTGGGAAACAGAACACACACAGTGCTTTTTCCCACAGTTTTTTTTTTTTGTTTGTTTGTTTGTGTGTGTGTGTGTGTGTTTTTTTTTTTGTGTGTGTGTGTGTGTGTGTGTTTTTTGCGTGTGTTTTTTCCCACAGCTCGGGCCAGACGCTCGCCTCCAGGGAGGACCACTGGCACCGGCGCGTGTCCTCCTGCGCCCCCTGGGCGGACAGACCCGGCGCGGAGCCCGGGCGAAGACCTCCCGGGCCACCCGCCGGGGGCGCAGGCCCAGACCCGCGACGTCCTCCTCCTCCTCCTCCTCCTCCTCCTCCTCCTCCTCCTTTCTCTCTTCCTCCTCCTCCTCCTCCTC